AGTGCCTTTTATCTTCAAAGTGTTTTACAAACATAAACAAATCAGTCCTAATATGCCTTTAAGGAATATAAAAATCTGTAACACATTTAAACATACACAAAGTCTCAGCTACAAGAAAGACTCTAGTTAAAGTGGGTCATACACAGGACACTGATACATTTATATTTATGATCGTATGTGGAGACCTGTGAACAGAAATGTCTTTGATCAGAGATCTTTGCTACCTGAATTTCAAAGCACCCCCCCCAAAAAAAGATTGCCTTTTTATTGAGATTTGAGAGCTCAGAAAGCATTTATATAGTTAGCTCTGCCTTATGAGGTGCTTAAATCAGAGATATTCCTTACAAACAACACTTTTAAAAGTCACACGCACTTGTGTGTGCGAGCTCACACACTCTCAGTCCCCAACCCCTGACACTTATACCATTTACAAGACAGATTTGATAACAAACAAACATTTAAACAAGTGCTTTGGTATCTTTCCTACAGATTAGTGGCCCAATCCTGCAAGCACTTAGTGTTCAGTTTCAACACATAAGCGTTTGTAGGTTCAAACCCTAGATGTGTCTTTGGTAAAGATCCCATCAATTATACTCTTAAGGGATGATAGCCAGCACCTGGCTTTTGCTAGCACTACAGGCAGTAAAGAAGCAACAAGAACCAATAAGCTGTTCATGTTAGTAAGCCTGTTTTCTCCTTATAGGAATAAACAGATAACCCCCCCCATCATTTACAATTATAGTGGTTATATTTTTGGCAACTAATATGTCTTTATTTGATTAGCATACAGTCTGTTCTCAAGCCCTTCTTACAAAGACAGAAAGGATCTCCATATTTTCAGAGTTCGCTTCTTTGGCTTTTCTTTATCAGCTATAAAGATTTCTAGGTACGCATTTCTTAGTGGAAACATCCTCTGTGGTATGTCCAAAGCAAACAAAACCTGGTTAAATGAGTGCTATCTTTAAAACAACCTTAAGCTATCACTAACCATTTCTGATTTCTTTTCAGAATATATTTGTCTAAGAAGAGTTGGAATATGAAACCCATAACATCCATAAAGGAGATCTACTACTGAACTACTAGGATAAATGGCTGGTTTGCATTGCCCCTGGTCTTTATCTAACACTGAGAATAGACTGCTGTTTTATCAAAAGAGGAATAAATTGCTGTTATTGTGATGTTAGCCCATCACTTGGCATTGCAATTCAAGTTTTTGTGAGAAAGAAATGTATGATCTAACTGCGACTTGACCTATGCCTTCTGAGATCCATCTAGGTGCTCTAATGGAGCATAAAAAGTGTTGAATACAAGGACATGCAAACTGGTGGTGAAGAAATTTGTTTGAGGAGAGCAGTGAAGAAAATGGACTTTTATGAGCTACTGGTTTACATAAAACTCAGCTTGTTAAACATGACAGGAAGTGCAGTGACCAAATATAATTGTTTTAATATATTTTAACACGAACTGAGCACTTAGGCTTTTTAAAGCCATTTAAAAAGTGTATGGGTTCAAGAGATTGTACAGGATTCCTTAAAGACCCAAACTGTCATTTCAAGAAATCATTAAAATGTTTTATTAAACTGTCAGAAAAAATATGTTCATGGAACTTTGTAGAACAATTGCCCTTTCTCAGCACCAGCTAAATCATATTAAATGTTTGCCAAATACCTGGAGCACACAGTATATCACAGTATAAACCTAGTTTAAATGAGATGATTGCTTGATTGCATTTAAAAAAAAAATCTCTTAGTTGCTATAATGTTCAGAATTTTCCAAGAAAGGATCTATTTTTAAACAGAGGTTTGTAGAACAGTAGCAGTTAGATTTTAGTCCTGATAAAGGCTCACTTTTCATTCATAGTCAGAGCCTAAATGTGCTCTTCTTGTACCTAAACAGATAATAAGCACTCAGCACACTCCCCCTTCTTGACACAACACACTGAGACTAATCACACATAATTGGAGAGGAGGAGCAGAGGGCTGGGCAAGCTATTGTGTCCAAAGGACAAATGGTCAGTTTATGAGGCTTTTGTCTGGTACATAATTTCTTATACATCTATGCAGAAAAAAAATCCTGTTGCAAAAAAAATTAAGTAATTGCTGAGACAAGTTAGGGCATTTCAATTTTGTATGGCAGAAAAATCAACAGAGAAATTTCAGGAGAGGCAAAAGAAAGATCCTCAGATGTGATATGGACACTTTTTAAAAATCTAAAAAAACCCATTTCCTCCTTAACTCCATGACAAAGCCTTAGCACTTTACAACCAATCAGCAATTACAAAAACATATTATTTACATATTTTCAAAAACAACCAAAAATTTGTGTTTAGAGAGATTAACAAAAAAACCCGCATACAAACTGAAGGGCATAATGGAAAAGAAAAAACCGATTTAGAGCTTCAATGTACATTTGAAGTTCTTTTCAAAAGGTAGGGGAAAATAAGTTCTAAAAATGATATAACAATCTGTCTTGAGGGTTCCTCATTGTGGTAAATCAAGAA